GCTGTTTGATGACTGTATTGGTTTTTTAAATGTCCTTATTTGGCAAAATAAGGTTGGCCACCTTATGCTAATTCTCAATTTTTTAAAAACTCAGTTGTCCTAAGATGCCCTTCATCAAACAACTAATGCAGTTTTCTTGATGTTCTGAAGCCCTCCTACAAGTTCCATAACTAATTCTCCAGGAAATAACTAAAAATATGCCATGGGGAAATATATTTTGGTGAATCAATAAACTAAACCTTTAAAAAGCTATAGCATCCATGTAGCTTAGCAGATTAGCAAATTTATATGATACACATTTTACCCAAAACAAATCCCACTAAGACCAGTTATTAAGCAACTTAAAAGAGATTAGCAAATTTATATGATACACATTTTACCCAAAACAAATCCCACTAAGACCAGTTATTAAGCAACTTAAAAAAGATTAGCAAATTTATATGATACACATTTTACCCAAAACAAATCCCACTAAGACCAGTTATTAAGCAACTTAAAATTCCCACTTCCAAGATGTCTTCGATTGCACAAACTTCACAATGGAAATATGTAAGATGGATAAATGTGCCACTGTGTCTCATTTCCTCATAAACAACAAAAAAGGGGGGGGGGGCAGCTAATTAGATCTTTAAATTCCCTTCCAACTGATACTGGAATCAGTGTGATCCAAAGTTTCAGGTAGTTAACTCATATTTGTGGCCCTAAAAAATGAGAAAAAGAACTGAACTAATCTACATAAACTAACTTACATATTCAGAAAATATCTTAAAGTACAGGAAAAAAATTTAACGACCAAGGCAACATAAACAATATACAAGATAGTAATGGCATCAGAAGGTTGTTCCCAGATCAAAGTTTACTTAAGTAGTTAACTACTTCCACAGTCTTACTACAGATGGATAATTTGCACTGCAGTTCCAGGCTAACGTGGCAGAGGGAGGGGTTTGAATACGGGTTTTTTTGTTGTTGTTGTTGTTTAATTAGATGTATTCTCCCTTCTAAAGTGAAGGATATGGGGGAGGGGGAATGAGAGTTACAGAAAAGAGAGGAACCACACCTAATTTTATTTGGGGAGAGTGGATGTAGGGAGATGGAGGATAAGCATACATAGCGCCAATACCGATAATAAAGAAAAAATTAAGCCCATAATGAAATTGCAAAATAAAACACTACTGAATCAGTGAGGCTCAAACCAGCAAAAAGCAGACACTGCAGTGGCAGCATTTGCTGAATTTGTGCCCCAATGAATTATTTCCGATAGAGGGTTCCACCCTCCGTGGCTAAGAAAAGTTATTGCATCAGGCGCCCGTGCAGGAGAAACCCGTTTCGTGTTTACTACTAGGTCATCGATCCCTTGGGTCTTATTCCGAGCTTTTGGCGCTACCTGACTGGATGTGAGAATCCATCTGAAATAACCTTATCTTTGTCCTCTCTAAATTCTGATCTCCATGCGGTGCCCTAGGAAAAGGAGGCCTGTACAAACCACCAAGTTCTCCAGCCCACGAAATCTCCTTCCCTTCCGCGAAATCAAATTTCAAAATGTTCCCATACGAAGAATGGCTGATTTCTCGGAATATTTACAGTTTCCCAGGTTTATGATCTGAAAGCTCACTCATTCCGAGTGGCCTTCTCGGAACTCAGAAAAGATGACAGAAGCGAAAGACGGGGAAAAAAAAAAAAAGTTCAACACCTCCCCATATCCACGTTTCGACTACTTGTATTTTCTCGACCGGTCATTCGGCTAACTAAGCACTGAATGAAGATGTCAAGGAGGAAACACTCCTCAAAGCATCCTGAAGATGAAAAGAGTCTGGCTGCGAGAAGAGAGAATTAGGAACCTCGCCACCCAAGGTGCACGGAGAGCACAGCAGACTGGGAAACTGAAGTTAAGGTGACCGAGCGAGGACAGGAGGAGAAGCAAAGGGTCACGGATCCCAGCCCTATCCGAGGGCGAGGAAGCGCGGGCGGTCACAAGGATGGGGAAGGAGAACAGATCGCGAGCGGAGGGACGCAGGCTGTCCAGGGGGCTCCGCGGGAGTCACCCAAGATAAGGGGAGGACGCAAGTCCACGGGAGGGAACGTGGCAGACGCACCCGAGGACCCGGGTCCAAAGTTGAGGAGGCGAGGAAGATGCCAGGAAGCCAAGGGCTTCCAGAGGATGGAGAGGGGTAACCGGAGAGGCGGACTGGTGATCGGGGAGAGGAGAGGAAAACCAGGAGGGCCCGGGGGGAGGGGAGAGCTGGAGCCGGAGGGGAAGGCGCAGAATGCCGGTACCTGCTCTCGCACGGCTAGCCGGAGAGGTGCCAGCACCTCCTCAGTCCCGGCGCCGTCCATGCTGCTCCGGGAGGCGGCGGAGAATGAGGTGGGGGCGGGGGCGCGCGTGCTGAGGGGCCGGCGGGGCTCGAGCAGAGGCCGGGCAGGGAGCCGGGGGGACAGCCACAGCAGCAGGGCGGCGCGAGCGGCTCTAAGCAGCGCCGGGCTCGGAGAGGGCATGAGCCGGCGGCCCTGGGCGGTGCAGAGGGGGCGGCGGCGGAAGCGGCGCGCGCTGCCGGGCCCGGAGCATGATGAAATCGCCGCGTAAACGCCGCGGCGCGCGCGCAGCCGCACATTCCACACGCCGCGATGCGGCGCCGGATCGCCGCCAGCAGATTCGACACGAAACCCGGAAGGACGCGGGATCCTTCAGCGGCCGGAGAAGCCTAGCTCCACCTGGGGAGCCCAGGAGGGCTGCGGGGTCTCAGGTAGCCCCCTGCGAACAGCGTCGCACAATGATGCGTCAGGCCACGCTAACAGAGTGGACGTTCAGGGACGCAACTCCATCCGAGAGGTGCAGACTGAAACTCACGCGGACCTTCAATGCATAGGCTTGTACCCGGCCACTGACACTCGGGCTGACACACGGAGAAACACACTAGTGTTTCTGTTCTTTAGCCCCCTGGGCCTTAAAGGGTCATAACACATCAGATCTGAGAAGGACTTAGATGCAATTTTGCTCAAGTTCAATTGTTCCTCTCAGAGGAGGAAACAAGTCAAGAGAGATTAATGATTTGCCCAACTTTTCACATCTAATTCACACTTTGCCATCGTCCAAACAAAAGCTGGGGAAAGGGAGAAGAGGAATGACGGGCTACTTTGCAGGGCCAGCAGGATTTGAACCAGCCGACCTGAGGAAAGGCAGAGGCAAAAAGATGAGGAATAGCCGGGAATCACTATCATGCAGGGGAATGGAGAGGAGCATCTAGGGCCTCGGGGTTCCCCGTGCGTGATCTCGCCTCAGAGGTCCTGCCTTGGGGGTGGCTCCCTCCCTCCTGCCCCATGGGTGGGTTAACTGGAAAAGCTGGATTCCCTTTGCATAGAGGGAACAGAAAAATAAGGAATGTGTTGGTTACAGAAATAGCATTGTGCACACCCAAGAGAAAGCCTAAAATGAAAATGATGGAAAATGCCCAGTGATGCACGGGGCCACACTGAGGGAGCGTTGGCTGGTGCAGCCACGACTGGAGAACTATTTGACAGTATCTACTGAAGCCAACCATACACACCTTCCCCGTGACCAACAATCCCACCCCACGAAGGTACACGAGAGGCTCACCACAGTGATGTCACCTTTCCCAGTAGTCGGAAAGTAGTATTACTTTTCTGCCCGTTCTAATTTGTAGAACCACACATTGGGAGAAGTACTCACAATTTAACATCAGCAGGGAGGGTGAGTAAAGGATCTTCTGCAATATTAAATAATTCGTATTTTTGACACTTTTGAGATTTGATAATCACAATTTTTATTTGGCTTTATTTTAATAGGTAATTTTTAATTTATCGTATTTTTAAAGACAAAAACAATTTTTACATCTGCTCTCATTCACATTTTTATTTAAACATTCAAATTCTGTATCCTTTGAATACAATTATATATTTTTTAATTCTTTAGATCGATAATGTCTCATCCATGTTCATGTGAAGACAGTCCTATGAGTATACCCAGACCCATACTTGCCCCTGTCCAGTTCATCCTCCCCACAGCTGCCTCAGTGATTATTTCTAAAAGGCAAAGCTGTGGCACGTTGCTCCTCTGCTCAGGACGATTCAATAGGACAGTGTGGCTCCTAGCAGAAATTTCCCAAGTGGTTTTCCTTAGAAAACTGCATCTGCAGACAATAATAATAGCTTATAATCATTGAGGGCTTACTATGTACCAGTTAGTATGGTAAGTTGTGGAATGTATTCACCAATCTAATGAGAAAGGCTCCATAATAATTCCCATTTTACAGATTCAGGATTCAAGGCACTAAGACATTAAACAGCTTGTCCACAGTCACACAACTACTAAGTGAGTGTAGGGCAGAATGTGAGCTGGGGGCAGGAAACAGTTGTACCATGCAGCTAATGAAGCTGCTGAAGCTGCGAGTAAGCTTCAGCACCCCTCGTCTGGCTGGGTTATTTCAAGGCCCCACAGGAGGCCTTAGAGTTGTGTACACGTGGTCATGGTTTTTTTTCTTTCCATATTAAAATTCTTTTCTTTATTTGAGGGAACAAAATTTGTGCATAAATTGAAATGTACTCATCTTAAGTGTAAAGTTCAGTGGGTTTTGACAAAAAAGAAATACTCACTTATAACCCACACCCTAATCAAGATAAAGAGCATTTTCCTCACCTCACAGAGTGCCCTCCTGTCTCTTCCTACAGAGATCCACAGGGAGACTGTCATGTGAAGATGGAATGACACAACTGTGAGCCCAGGAACAGCAAGGGTTGATGGCCACCACAGAGTTCCAGAGCGAGCCTGGCCCTGCCAATGCCTTGATTGTGGACTTCTAGCCTCCAGAACTGTGAGATAATACATTTCTGTTGTTTTAAGCCACCAGTTCGTGTACTTTTACGATGGGCCTAGGAAACTAACACAGAGACTGTGGTTATTTTTTTCATTCTCTCAATCTTTATTCTTTCTGATTATAAAATAAAAACCTTGCTCTTTGAAAAATTGAAATATTACAGCAATATATGATTTGGAAATTGAGAGTCAGAGAGGAAAGAATAAAGAGAAAAGGGGGACTTATAGTTTTAATATGTAGAATATATCTGTGGTGTTTGCATTGTTTTACAGAATGAATAATCTCTGCATTTTGAAAATATTTTGAAATGGGGTAATATGGAAAGTCCTTCAAAATCTAATTCCTCAACGATAAACACTATTGTTAGCGGGTCCACAATTTGTACTATTTCTAAGCAAACACAAAGTCCATTTCACGCACATACGCAAGCCTTTCTCCCTCATACACTCACCCTGCAGGGGAGGGGAGAGGTGAGGCTGGACCTCTGGTGCTCTATTTTCCTCTGTTGTTCTCTTTCTCTTTTCCAGAAGTTTCCAACAGTTTAACCCACTCTTTAACTCCTTTGAGTTCTAGGCAATGGAATATAATTGAACCTGCTGTACACCACTTCTCAGCCTGGCTGTATGAACCCCCATGTGCCACCCTTTATGCTGTTCTCTTCTGCTGGCTGGAAATCAATGTCCATGTGTTAAAAATGGCAGAACCTGGTTCCTGAGTGACTATGTGGAACAGAGCCCATTGCCCTACTCCTTTCTGACAAGCTCTTTGAACTGGGAACATGAGCAAATAGTATATTTCTGTTGCATCTGTGCTATTACACATTCTGCTCTGTTAGAGCAGCGAGCTTGCTCTAACTACTCTACAACCACTGGGCCATGCATGAGAAAGTTGGTAAGGATATCTGGGACACAGGAGAAGGAGAGAAAGGGTGAAAAAGAGCAGTCGATTGACAGAAGTTCTGTTTATACATCCTTTTTTAGGCATATGGAGCTAGGCGAAGCTGGGCTCCCGCCCACAGGCTGATGGGGTATTATCCAGAGTGAGCGGACTGACTGGTGGCCCTGGTACGCTTCTCTGGGTCAGCATCTCTCTAGCTTTCTGATGCCTCTGCTTGAAGTAAGGTACCCGCCCCTTCTCCTCCTTCCATTTGTCCTCAAGCTAAGGTGTGTGCAGAATTCCTAGCCCACACCTACAGGATCCTAAGGGATGCTTCCCAGACTTGGTATGGGAGGGAAGGTGTCGCATACCTCATCCTGGTTCCTCCTCTAACTCTCTGGACTCAGTCTCCCCCTCTGAACATGAGGGGGACTGGACCTGCTGACTTCTGGCCTCTTCCAGCTCTTACTATGGGTTTGTGAACTTGTGACAGGGAAACAAAGCTCTAAGAAATGGAAGGAGAGCAGGTTTCTATCTGTCCAGCAGAGGGGAGCAGCTCCCCACAATCCAGCACTTAGGCTGCCAGAGGGGTGTACAAAGGCTTGTGCAGGCCTAGCCTTCAGAGGCCTGCAGAGCAGAGTTCTGAGCACGTGACCCTGCCCCCAGAGAGTGTGCACAGGGAAACCCTCCAAGCCCCTTCTCAGCCCTTACCTAAGGCATCCGGCCCCCTATGCCTCTCCTGCAGAGAGAGAAAGGGTCAATCACTAAATATTAGTGGGACTCTGGCTTTGGTAATTTGGTGAGAAGGAGGGAGCTTATGTAAGCTAGTATAAAGACATACAAAACAAACAAAAGGCTCACCAAAGTTAGGATGGCAAGTTTCCAGCTGATTGGGACCTCAGATTTCCAGTTATGGTTTAAATTGTGTCCCCCCAAAAGATAAAGTCATCTGAAAGTGTGACCTCATTTGGAAATGAAGTCAGTGCAGATGTAACTGGGTTCAAATGGAAGCAGGGTGGACCCTTAACCCAGTATGACTGGTGTCTTTATAAGAAGAGGGAAATCTGGACATGGACACAGAGGGAAGACAGCCGGTGAATACAGAGGCAGAGATTAGAGTCGTGCTGTCAGAAGCTGAGTGACACCCAGGACTGCCAGAGCTGCAAAGAGCCTCTCCTAAAAGCTTCGGCGGGAGCCCGGCTCTGCCAACACTGAGTTTTGGACTTCATCCTCCAGAACCGTGAGACAATACACTTCTGTTGTTTAAGCTGCCCAGTTTGGGGTACTTCACTATGGCAGCCCTAGGAAACTAACACGCTTGTCCTCCCACCCCCGGCCCCGCCGTCCACAGCAGGGGTGGCCCATTGACTCAGTCCCATCACTGCAGCAGGTTTGTTCAGATTGCACAGCGTTTGTTGTTGCTGCTGTGGGCTTTAATTAGCAGGGCCACGCCTACCAATGCCTCGCCTGGCTCTTTGTGCATTTAAGCCTTGGTCCCTGCTCCATGCTTCCCCGGCGGGGCTCGGTCAAGATGGCTGATGAAGTGCCAAACACTAGCCTCACTTCTCAGGCAGGGAGGATGGGGAAGAGGGAACTGTCGCCTTCCTCAGGAGTCCTCCCAGAAGCCCCACGCAACAGCTCCTGCTGACATCTTGTTGACCAGAACTGGGTCATACAGTGTGGTGGTAAATTTTAGGTGTCACCTTGACAGGATTCAGGTCTTTGTTACAGCACATCTGATTGTTCCTGGGAATGAATTTTTAGATGAGATTAACATTTAAATCAGTAGACTCTGAATAAAGTAAACCTCTAGAGTATGGGTGCGCCTCATCCAGACAGTCAAAAGCCTCTGGGAAGAGACTGAGGTCCTCTGAGAATTTAGCCTTCAGGCCATAGTCTGGAAACCCCTGTCTTAGGGTAGCAGCTGACAAGGAGATAGAAAGGCCAGTGTAGGACGGGAAGAAAAACTGTTGTGACAGCTAAGGGAATACTCATCACAAAAGAGGAGCCCTTTACATCTTCCAGGGATAGAAAAAAGGAAATTTCTTTGATCTTACTCACCTATTTACCTGACTAGGAGACAAGGGCAGAAAGGTCAGTGTAGCTGGAAAGGTTGTCTTGGCCACCTCAGGGTTGGCCCTGCGTCCCTCCTGCTGGATTCTGCAGATCCTGCTGGCTAGGTGCCAAAAGGCCGTCAGCTCACTGTGATTTGCTCCTCCTAGAAACGGCAGGCAGATAAATCTCTCTCAGCACCATGGCAACCAGATTCTTCTCTATAGCAGGGAATCAGGGAGAACACCCCTACAGGCACTGATCCATTAGAGTATATACTGAGCTCCTTTCAAGGCCAGGCCCTGTGCCGAGTGCTTGGAACACAAAGATGTATAAACCCAAGTCCGTGCTTTAAAGGGGGCCACGGGCTGAAGGAGGGGACAGGCATGCAAGGCCAACAGCATGATACATGATCCAAGGACGGACACACCAAGTGCTGCAGCAGCAGCAGCTCCTCCTCTCTGGGATCTAGGACCTGACCTGCTGGACCTCTCCGAAGAGCAGAGCTTGAGCTGAATTTTGGAGATTCAGTCAGACCTGGTCAAAAAGGATGACCTGGGGAAGCTTGAGAGCCATAGCACATTTGGGGAATGACAAGTATAGCCTGAGCCCAGGGCTCTCGAGGTTGCCGGAGATGGACAGGGAGAGGCCCACAGGTGCTAAAACCAGAGCACTCTGCAGTCACTGCTCTCGCTGGGGTGCACCACAGCTGAGTGCTCAACCCAGGGTCTGTTTTCCAGCCCATTTGTTTACCCCCTTCTCTTAAAAGATCCTGTCTTGACATCAGGATGATCATGACAGCATGGTACCACCAACTCCTGTTTCTTCTGTAGTTCTGCCTGCCCTTTCTCATGCCTTATTTACTTCCTCACTTCTTTAAATTCTAACCATCTTCTCAGGCTATGCTCTCTTTAGGTATTTTAGAGGCGGACCACGTGACTCTCCATTTCTCTTTGTGTATTGGTTTCAATTTCTCCTACCACAGGTGAGCCCTCCTATACATGTCTGGGAATGAAGCTGCAAGAACCCCAGCATAGTAACGCCCATGGGGATTCCCACATCCATCTATAGGTCAGTATCTCTCATATCCATCTATCAGGATTCTGATTGACATTGGTTGGGTCACGTGCCTGCCCTGGGACCCATTGCAATTACTAAAGTGATGGGGCAATATGGTATATGATGAGGGCAATGAGGTTCCATGATTGGCCCCATCAAAGTCACTTTGAATTAGAGAAAGCCAGTTCCCAAAGGCATGTGTGTCAGTCATGGTCTCAATCGGGAGATAAAAATTACACAATGTTAACAGGGAAAATTTAATATTAATAATTATTAACTGATAACAGAGGGTTAACCACTAAGGGGTAAAGAGAACTGTAAAGAATACAGGATGAAGAATAAACAAAACATGGTATATACATACAATGGACTATTTATCCCACCAAAGAAAGAAAGGAAATTCTGACACATGCAACAACATGGATGAACCTTGAAAACATTTGCTAAATGAAATAAGCTAAATACAATGGGACGAATATTATACAATTCTACTTTTATGAAATATCTGGATAAGGCAAATTCATGGAGACAAAGTTTCAGTTTGGGATGATGGAACAGTTCTGAAAATGGATGATGGTGATGGTTATCCAACATCGTGAATGTACTTAATGGCATTGATTGTACACTTAAAAATAGTTGAAATGGTAAATTTTATTTATGTATATTTTACTACAATAGGAAAAATAGAGAATTACGGGGGCAGTGGGTTTAGGAGGTAGGTACTAGCTCTAGGACTGAAGCCGAGTCACCAAGGAAGTCACCATGCGGGAAAAGGCCTTCTCCAAGGCTGAGAGTCACACCCCAATGGAGGCAATTCAGAGGGGCAGAGGTCATTCCAGTCTGAGATTTGCTATTAAATTTAATTTGGGTCGCCACTGCATTGGTTTGGTTAAGGCTGGGACCATGTCACTGGCTCACTGCAGCTTAATTGCCGTGCTTGGCACGACCCAGGACCCGCTGGGCATCAGGAGGAGCATCTGAATTTGTACCAATCAGACAGAAACAAGGCTGTACCATCCGGGTGTCTGGACACTATGCGGGGTGCTGGGAGGCATCTTCGGGGGCTGCTGTCACCAGAAGCAGGCACAGAAGAATACTTCAGAAGTAGCCATGTTCTCGTGAATCTTCCTATTTTCACTGCATGTAAACAAGGATGACAAACCCCACAGAAGGCAGATTGCAGCAATAGTGCTTCCTGACCCCGGCAGACTGTGCGACTGTGGCCAGTCTAGTGGACACGGCACCGTGATTGCACCCCTGCCCCGCCACTCGACTCCTCCAAGGTCCGAGGTGCTGGGTTCTCGCTCTTCCTCCGCCACCACAAAAGTGGCGCATCCCATCCAGTGTCTGTACCTTTACCTTTCCTTCAGTCATCCCCACGACATGCCCAGACCTTCTGTCCAGAAGGGTCATGTACAGGAGCGACAAGGGCATTTTTACAAAATTAG